TGGTTAACATCAAGCCCCTTTTAATGTATGTCTGTGTAAGGCGGCACAGGTTTACAGGTTCTTTGTATTGTAACAAATCTAAAACGAATAAAAATAATAATAAAAATAATGTGAGCATATAATGTGAAAATCTAGGGGAAAATGTGAATGAGGATGTTTGTGGACTAGGATTTTAAATCATAATTGTAAAACAATAAGAACATTAAAAACAGTAAATAAACAAAATTCTGATAAGTTGAGTGATAACTGAGAGGAAAAGACGCGAGAAAATAAAAATAAAAACACAACGGATGAAATGCTCCTGTTCCTTTTAGGCTCCAAAATTATTGATAATTTTAATGATAAACGCTAAAGATGAGCCATTTTTTTAGCAGATGCATCATGATGACAGATACGTTTTTAAACACAGTTTAGTGAGTCAGTCACCTCCTGTATCGGTCACATGACTTTCTGGAAACGCCATCGGACCGATACAGTGTTTAGCTCTATGGGCTTCATGCATGCACCGATGCATCAGTGTTACTGGACCCGTCACTACTTTCAGCAGTTCCATAGTGTCAGTATGACCAGCATCATTTATGCTGATGTCCATCCCAGTAATCACATCCATGAGGCTGAAGTCTGTCTGGATTCAGCACAGCAGTCTTTCCTACCCTGGATGGTGTTCCTGGTATGGACAGGAGGTAGGAGTTATTCGGATCCAGTCTTGGGTGGGTTTAGTTCCGGGTTATCATTCGGGTCCCTTTCCAAGGAGGTACTTCCTGGCGCCATGCTGTACGCGGCTTCTTGATGATGCAGGCTGTAAATGGCTCTCTATACAAAGGTTGTGGCTTTTTGAGGCTCCAACAGAACTGAGGGATTCATTCCTGTTCATGAGGTGGAAAGACAAAAACATTTTTTGTTTTTTGCCTTAGGAATATTCCCACTTCTATGAAATCTTTAAAAATCTTTTTGCTGCTAGAAAAAAAGGAGCAGCACGACAGCAGAGAAGAGTAACAAGCTTTATGCTACATTCAGACGGCACGCAGAAGAAGCAGCAAAAACTGCTTCATTTTTTTATGCTTGTACAAGTTTAGCTCTGAGGTTTAGTTCTAGATGCGCGGTGAAAAAGTGGGTCTGATGCGTGTTGGGTGGAGCTACCCTATCCTTCCACCTCTTCCTGCATACATCCTCTGAATAAACAGTTATTGAGCAGCGTAAAATTAGCAGTAGAGTGACAGTGAATGTTTGATTCAATTCAGTTTATTTCTATAGGGCCAATTCCCAACACGTCATCTCAAGACACAGTTCACCAGATCATGAAGTCACACTGATTAACAGTCTTCTGTCCAAGGAAAACCAGTGCATTGACTTGACTCATTGAATAAGCATGCTTGTAGCGACAGTGGAGAGGAAAAACTCCCTTTGAACAGGAAGTTTACCATCGTAAAGCCCTGGATAACTGACCAGAGTGTCTGATTTCCTCGCTAATCCTCCTCCAGGCAAAGTCCTTTCTGCTCCTGTTTCTATGCTGATAACAGGATTGGTCATAAATAACTGCATGAGAGCAAACAGCCATGATCAATTTCTCTTCCATGCTTGATGAATTCCCGGGTTTTCTACGTCTTTCCCTCCCATCTGAAAACACAGCAGCACCATGAGGCGAAGCTTCTCTCTGATTGGTTGATGTGGCGCATCGAGCAGCAGTAGTTAAACTTTTCCAACTCCAGCAGCTGCTGCTTCTGAAGCGTGTCATGCATGTCAGATGATCAGAAGCTCACAAGGCGCTGCTCCTGCTGCTCAAAACGTGCTGCGGGAGCTTTTCTGTGCCAGGATGCACGTCAACCGTTGACTTTGCATGGAAACGAGCTGCTTCTGCTGCGTGCGGTCTGAACGTAGCTTTAGATAGAAAACCTACATGTTTCCCCACCTTTTGTAAAACAGCTTTTATTGTTAATTTTCAGTCTGTAATTTCAAAATGAGTTTCAGTTGACCAGATGAAATAAATAATGTTTAATTTGCTGCTAAATGTTGCCTCTGTCTCCTGCAGGCTTATGAGAAGCAGAAACAAGCACTGAAGAGCAACAACCAGCTGGAGTCTAAATCGGAGGAGCGGCAGAGGGTGGAGAGGTTTAAAAGCAGCGAGAACAGCATCGTGTCCAAACCCATTAACCCTTTCACCTCCGGTGCGTCACGCTGCTTCGCTACATGGAACACAGGCAGCGTTTCTAGTGTCCTTTGCACAGGAAAGTCTGATTTGTTTTTGTTTGTGTGTTTTCAGGGCAGAAGAAAGACGGCGAGGCGAGCGGCTCAGGAGAGCCGTCCTCTGCTGCTCCGGCCTCCACGTCCGGCCAGAGCCTCCCCAGTTTCTGGATCCCCTCCCTGACACCAGAGGCTAAACCAACTCTCCTCAAAAAACCAGTCAGTCATTTTTTTTTTCTTTCTTTGTTTTCATTTTTTTCTTCTGTACCATGTGGCTAAACCAGCCTGATCATGTGTTGC